TAAATAAAAAAATAACGAGTAATCCATGAAATTTTTATGGGTTATTAAGCCGATCCTGTGTGATGTAGTCTCAGGTGGACACCACTAATGTCAGAACAAAGCTTAAATAATCACTGAACAAACTCTTACTAAACCCAAACAGGGTTAAATTAATTGTCATATCATTATTATATTAATATTATTATTATTTAAAATTAGATTATTCTCATTATTATTATTATTATTATTATTATTATTATTATTATTATTATTATTATTATTATTATTATTATTATTATTATTATTATTATTATTATTATTATTATGTTATTTACGCGATATCGCAGTGTGCAGTTAAGCGTGATACTCATCCTGACAGACGAGTGGACGTCACTGTTTTAGGGGGAGAAGGACTTATGTGATCTCACTGTCTCAGTATGTCATGTTACAAACATGGTTATGTCACATAATGTTAGGAAATGCGAGCGATCAGGACGCAGAGGAGTAGTGCGTGGTCAGAGCAGTGCTAGAAGTGCCTGGTCAGAGTAGTGCCAGCAGTGCCTGGTCAGAGCAGTGCCAGCAGTGCTTGGTCAGAGCAGTGCTAGCAGTGCCTGGTCAGAGCAGTGCTAGCAGTGCCTGGTCAGAGCAGAGCTAGCAGTGCCTGGTCAGAGCAGTGCTAGCAGTGCCTGGTCAGAGCAGTACTAGCAGTGTCTGGTCAGAGCAGTGCCAGCAGTGCCTGGTCAGAGCAGTACTAGCAGTGCATGGTCAGAGCAGTGCTAGAAGTGCCTGGTCAGAGCAGTGCTACCAGTGCCTGGTCAGAGCAGTGCCAGCAGTGCCTGGTCAAAGTAGTGCCATCAATGCCTGGTCACAGTAGTGCCAGCAGTACCTGATCAGAGTAGTGCCAGCAGTGCCTTGTCAGAGTAGTGCCAGCAGTGTCTGGTAAGAGTAGTGCTAGCGTGCCTGGTCAGAGTAGTGCCAACAGTGCCTGGTCATAGTGCCAGCAGTGCCTAGTCAGAGTAGTGCTAGCAGTGCCTTGTCAGAATAGTGCCAGCAGTGTCTGGTAAGAGTAGTGCTAGCGTGCCTGGTCATAGTGCCAACAGTGCCTGGTCAGAGTAGTGCCAGCAGTGCCTGGTCAGAGTAGTACCAGCAGTGCCTAGTCAGAGTAGTGCTAGCAGTGCCTTGTCAGAATTGTGCCATCAGTGTCTGGTAAGATTAGTGCTAGCAGTGCCTGGTAAGAGTAGTGCTAGCAGTGCCTGGTCAGAGTAGTGCTAGCAGTGCCTGGTCAGAGTAGTGCTAGCAGTGCCTGGTCAGAGTAGTGCTAGCTGTGCCTTGTCAGAGTAGTGCCAGCAGTGTCTGGTCAGAGTAGTGCCAGCAGTGCCTAGTCATAGTGCCAAGAGTGTCTGGTCAAAGTAGCGCTAGCAGTGTCTGGTCAGAGTAGTGCCAGCAGTGCCTAGTCAGAGTAGTGCCAAGAGTGTCTTGTCAAAGTAGTGCTAGCAGTGTCTGGTCAGAGTAGTGCCAGCAGTGCCTGGTCAGAGTAGTGCCAGCATTGCCTGGTCAGAGTAGTGTCAGCAGTGTCTGGTCAGAGTAGTGCCAGCAGTCAGTGCCTGGTCAGAGTAGTGCCAGCAGTGTCTGGTCATAGTGCCAGCAGTGCCTTGTCAGAGTAGTGCCAGCAGTGCCTGGTCAGAGTAGTGCTAGCGGTGCTTGGTCAGAGTAGTGCCTGGTCAGAGTAGTGCCAGCTTTGCCTGGTCAGGGTAGTGCCAGCAGTGCCTGGTTAGAGTAGTGCCAGCAGTGCCTTGTCAGGGAAGTGCCAGCAGTGCCTGGTTAGAGTAGTGCCAGCAGTGCCTTGTCAGAGCAGTGCTAGCAGTGCCTGGTCAGAGTAGTGCCAACAGTGTCTGGTCAGAGTAGTGCCGGCAGTGCCTGGTTAGAGTAGTGCAGCAATGCCTGGCCAGAGTAGTGCCAGCAGTGCCTGGTTAGAGTAGTGCCAACAGCGCCTGGTCAGAGTAGTGCCTACCTCACATCGTGCAACCCACAATGGTTGACTGACTGACCTTACTATACATATTAAGGTGAGGTCGTTGAGTTTTGTTCATGTCTTATAATGTTTCGGTCAAGTGACGAGAGAAACTATCTAGACAACTGAATGATATATTTGACGTTATTTCCATCACTTGTTGTGGTTTAGCCTTACATCTGGACACCGCAGGATACTCTTCTTCACTTCCTCTCTGTCTGTTGTGCTCTTCTGATATACTCTACTTCCTGTTGCACTCTATAGGTGGATATTCATAGGATATTCGGTGAATATTTATTGGTTATAAGTGGATTAATATTAGTTATGGACTTCTAGTGGATGACTACTACTGCCTTATACTGTTCCATTTATCTTCATTATAGTGTGAGATTAAAACCTAAGTATTGGTTCTTCTTGATATATTTTTATCTTCTGGCACTAAAATCAGTTAAACTTGTGGTGCCATACCGGGTGAGGAAATCACTGTTCGTATATAACTTTAATAGTTATAGGTAAACTATCTTGTTTAAGGGGCACGTTAGTTCCTTTGTTTTCTATGTTATTTTCCCCTTCTAATCTACTTAATCATGATATAACTCAACAAATCTTTAAGGACAATAGTGTTGTAAAGGTCTGAGCTTTGCTCAGGCCTCTGCAACACAATTGTCCTTAAAGATTTGTTAAGTTATACCATGAATTAAGGAAAAATCACAGACTTCACCTTCACCTTCACCTTCACATTCACCTTCACCTTCACCTTCACCTTCACATTCACCTTCACCTTCACCTTCACCTTCACCTTCACCATAATTACTGCCGCAAATGCAATAGTAATTATGGACAAAGTAGATTATAGTGTAAAAAATAAACATGATATTAGGAGACAGAGAAACTTACGCACCTCTTAAGCTTCTGGTGTTGTTACGATAATACAAGTGAAGCACCGTAGGTCTTGAAGCTTCTGTCACCTTGTGGCTTCAGACTTTTATTGCCTCGATAATTTTATATTTTTTTATTTTATTTTTTATAGTGATAATGTTTACTTAGTTTCCTGGAATTATTGAACTTTAATAATTCCTTATCATAGCAATAATATCAGCTTAGTGTATGTGCTGTTACTGTCAACAAACAGGCCAGGGCGGGTTACTGTTGCCACGTAATATAACGCGGTGACTGTCTCTGTGTCTCTCCCATCACAGGAAGGTAATGATTGTAACTGTGTGTCTCCCCACACAGGAAGGTAATGATTGTAACTGTGTGTCTCCCCACACAGGAAGGTAATGATTGTAACTGTGTGTCTCCCCACACAGGAAGGTAATGATTGTAACTGTGTGCCTCCCCACACAGGAAGGTAATGATTGTAACTGTGTGTCTTCCATACAGGAAGGTAATGATTGTAACTGTGTGCCTCTCCACACAGGAAGTAATGATTGAACTGTGTGTCTTCCCACACAGGAAGGTAATGATTGTAACTGTGTGTCTCCCCCACACAGGAAGGTAATGATTGTAACTGTGTGTCCTCCCCACACAGGAAGGTAATGATTGTAACTGTGTGCCTCCCCACACAGGAAAGTAATGATTGTAACTGTGTGTCTCTCCACACAGGAAGGTAATGATTGTAACTGTGTGTCTTCCCATACAGGAAGGTAATGATTGTAACTGTGTGTCTTCCCATACAGGAAGGTAATGATTGTAACTGTGTGTCTCCCCACACAGGAAGGTAATGATTGTAACTGTGTGCCTCCCACACAGGAAGGTAATGATTGTAACTGTGTGTCTCCCCACACAGGAAGGTAATGATTGTAACTGTGTGTCTCCCCACACAGGAAGGTAATGATTGTAACTGTGTGCCTCCCCACACAGGAAGGTAATGATTGTAACTGTGTGTCTCCCCATACAGGAAGGTAATGATTGTAACTGTGTGCCTCCCCACACAGGAAGGTAATGATTGTAACTGTGTGTCTCCCCACACAGGAAGGTAATGATTGTAACTGTGTGTCTCCCCACACAGGAAGGTAATGATTGTAACTGTGTGCCTCCCCACACAGGAAGGTAATGATTGTAACTGTGTGTCTCCCCATACAGGAAGGTAATGATTGTAACTGTGTGTCTCCCCACACAGGAAGGTAATGATTGTAACTGTGTGCCTCCCCACACAGGAAGGTAATGATTGTAACTGTGTGTCTCCCCACACAGGAAGGTAATGATTGTAACTGTGTGTCTCCCCACACAGGAAGGTAATGATTGTAACTGTGTGCCTCCCCACACAGGAAGGTAATGATTGTAACTGTGTGTCTCCCCACACAGGAAGGTAATGATTGTAACTGTGTGTCTCTCCACACAGGAAGGTAATGATTGTAACTGTGTGTCTCCCCACACAGGAAGGTAATGATTGTAACTGTGTGCCTCCCCACACAGGAAGGTAATGATTGTAACTGTGTGTCTCTCCACACAGGAAGGTAATGATTGTAACTGTGTGTCTTCCCATACAGGAAGGTAATGATTGTAACTGTGTGTCTCCCCACACAGGAAGGTAATGATTGTAACTGTGTGTCTCCCCACACAGGAAGGTAATGATTGTAACTGTGTGTCTCCCCACACAGGAAGGTAATGATTGTAACTGTGTGTCTTCCCATACAGGAAGGTAATGATTGTAACTGTGTGTCTTCCCATACAGGAAGGTAATGATTGTAACTGTGTGTCTCCCCACACAGGAAGGTAATGATTGTAACTGTGTGTCTTCCCATACAGGAAGGTAATGATTGTAACTGTGTGTCTTCCCATACAGGAAGGTAATGATTGTAACTGTGTGTCTCCCCACACAGGAAGGTAATGATTGTAACTGTGTGTCTCCCCACACAGGAAGGTAATGATTGTAACTGTGTGTCTTCCCATACAGGAAGGTAATGATTGTAACTGTGTGTCTCCCCACACAGGAAGGTAATGATTGTAACTGTGTGTCTCCCCACACAGGAAGGTAATGATTGTAACTGTGTGTCTCCCCACACAGGAAGGTGACTGGAGTGAAGGAGGGAGGGTTGCCACCCCGGGACAACTTGATGGTATTCCTGGTCGAGTCATCGTGTGAGGAGCGTCCTCAGTGTGCCAACTGTGATAAAACTAACCAGTCTGCCATGTTCTTCTGCAACACCTGCGGTAAGTGTGTTTGTGAGTGTACTCACCTATTTGTACTCACCTATTTGTGGTTGCAGGGGTCGAGTCACAGCTCCTGGCCCCGCCTCTTCGCTGATTGCTACTAGGTCCTCTCTCTCCCTGCCCCATGAGCTCTATCATACCTCGCCTTAAAACTATGTATGGTTCCTGCCTCCACCACATCACTTTCTAGGCTATTCCATGGCCTGACTACTCTATGACTGAAGAAATACTTCCTAACATCCCTTTGATTCATCTGAGTCTTCAACTTCCAATTGTGACCTCTTGTGTCTGTGTCCCATCCCTGGAACATCCCGTCTTTGTCCACCTCGTCTATTCCGCGCAGTATTTTATATGTCGTTATCATGTCTCCCCTGACCCTCCTGGCCTCCAGTGTCGTCAGGCCGATTTCCCTCAACCTTTCTTCATAGGACAATCCCCGTAGCTCTGGGACTAACCTTGTTGCAAACCTTTGCACTTTCTCTAATTTCTTGACGTGCTTGACTAGGTGTGGATTCCAAACTGGTGTTGCATACTCCAGTATGGGCCTGACGTAGATGGTGTACAGAGTCTTAAACGAATCCTTACTGAGGTATCGGAACGCTATCCGTAGGTTTGCCAGGCGCCCGTATGCTGCAGCAGTTATCTGATTGATGTGCGCCTCAGGAGATATGCTCGGTGTTATACTCACCCCCAGATCTTTTTCCTTGAGTGAGGTTTGCAGTCTTTGGCCATCTAAACTATATTGTGTCTGCGGTCTTCTTTGCCCTTCCCCAATCTTCATGACTTTGCATTTGACAGGGTTAAATTCAAGGAGCCAGTTGCTGGACCAGGCTTGTAGCCTGTCCAGGTTTCTTTGTAGTCCTGCCTGATCCTCATCCGATTTGATTCTTCTCATTAACTTCGCATCATCTGCAAACAAGGACACTTCTGAGTCTATCCCTTCCGTTATTCCACAGTCAGGCTGAAGAAATACTTCCTAACAGCTCAAGTCCCAGCCTTCCCAATTCTTTACCCCGTCTCTGTCCTATCAATTCATCTAGTTATATTGTACGATGTTATAATAACTCCACTGTTTTCTTTCTCCTCTGAAGATCGCCAGGTTCTTTTAGATTACGATTGTAGGTCAACTTTCTTACCTCCACGACAAGTCTTGATGCCAGTCTATGGAATTTCTCTAGTGTTTACACATTCTTGACGAGGTGTGGAGTGCAGGCAGTCTCTGCATACTGTATGACAGGTCACATATATACTGCATAATAGGTAAGGTATACTTTATAATAGTTAAGGTATACTGTATAATAGGTAAGATATATTGTATAATAGGTAAAAAAATACTGTATAATAAGTATGATATACTATACAGTAAGTATGATAAACTCTATAATAGGCATGATATTCTGTATAATAGGTATGATATACTGTATAATATTTATGATTATACAGGTGTTGTTCACCACCAGTGTATCTCCTCTACCTCAGGTATTGTTCCATCCACTGCAGTACTGCTGTAACTGCTGCTGTACATCTCTCTCCTCCTGCTGCAACTCTCATCCTGCTGTACCTCCTCTCCTCCTGCTTTACTTCTCTCTCCTCCTGCTGTAACTCTCTCTCCTCCTGCTTTACTTCTCTTTCCTCCTGCTGTAACTCTCTCTCCTCCTGCTTTTCCTCCTCTCCTCCTGCTTTACCTCCTCTTCTCCTGCTGTACCTCTCTCTCCTGTTGTACCTCTCTCTCCTCCTGCTGTACTTCTCTCTTCCTCCTGCTGTACTCTCATCTCCTCCTGCTGTAACTCTCTCTCCTGTTGTACCTCTCTTTTCCCCTCCTCCTGCTGTACTCTCTCTCCTCCTGCTCTACCTCTATCTCCTGTTGTACCTCCCTCTCCTCCTGCTGCACCTCTCTCTCCTCCTGCAGTACTTCTCTCTCCTCCTGCTGTACCTCTCTCTCCTCCTGCTGTACTTCTCTCTCCTCCTGCTGTATCTCTCTCTCCTCCTGCTGTACCTCTCTCTCCTCCTGCTGTACCTCTCTCTCCTCCTGCTGTCCCTCTCTCCCTCCTGCGTACTTCTCTCTCCTCCTGCTGTATCTCTCTCTCTCCTCCTGCTGTACTTCCTCTCTCCTCCTGCTGTACTCTCTCTCCTCCTGCTGTACTTCTCTCTCCTCCTGCGTACCCTCTCTCTCCTCCTGCGTACTTCTCTCTCCTCCTGCTGTACCTCTCTCTCCTCCTGCAGTACTCTCTCTCCCGCGCACTCTCCTCCTGCTGTACTTCTCTCTCCTCCTGCTGTATCTCTCTCTCCTCCTGCTGTACTTCTCTCTCCTCCTGCTGTACTCTCTCTCCTCCTGCTGTACCTCTCTCCCTCCTGCTGCACTTCTCTCCCTCCTGCTGAAATCTCTCTCTCCTCCTGCTGTACTTCTCTCTCCTCCTGCTACCTCTCTCTCCTCCTGCAGTACTTCTCTCTCCTCCTGCTGCACCTCTCTATCCTTTCCTGCAGTACCTCTCTCTCCTCCTGCGTCCCTCTCTCTCCTCCTGCTGTACCTCTCTCTCCTCCTGCTGAAACCTCTCTCTCCCCCTGCTTACTTCTCTCTCCTCCTGCTGTATCTTTTCTCCTCCCTGCGTACTTCTCTCTCCTCCTGCTGTACCTCTCTCTCCTCCTGCTGTACCTCTCTCTCCTCCTGCAGTACCTCTCTCTCCTCCTGCTGTACTTCTCTCTCCTCCTGCTGTACCTCTCTCTCCTCCTGCAGTACCTCTCTCTCCTCCTGCTGTACTTCTCTCTCCTCCTGCTGTACCTCTCTCTCCTCCTGCAGTACCTCTCTCTCCCCCCTGCTGACTTCTCTCTCCCTCTGTACTGTCTCTCCTCCTGCTGTACCTCTCACTCCTCCTGCGGTACTTTTCTCTTCTCCTGCTGTACCTCCCTCCGCTATACTCTCTCTCCTCCTGCGTATCTCCTCTTTCCCTTTGCTGTAACTCTCTCTCCTCCTGCGGTACCTCTCTCTCCCCTGCTGTACTCTCCTCCTCTTGCTCTCCTCTCTCTCCTCCTGCTGTACCTCTCTCCCTCTTGCTGTACCTCTCTCTCCTCCTGCGTATCTCTCTCTCCTCCTGCTGTTCCTCTCCCCTCTTCCTGCTGTACCTCTCTCTCCTCCTGCTGTACTCTCTCTCCTCCTCTGTACCTCTTTTCATCCTCCCTGTACTTTCCTCTCCTCCTGCTGTATCTCTCTCTCTTCCCTGCTGTACCTCTCTCTCCTCCTGCTGTATCTCTCTCTCCTCCTCCTGTACCTCTTTCTCCTGCTGCTGTATCTTTCTCTCCTCCTGCTGTACTTCTCTTTTCTCCTGCGTATCTCTCTCTCCTCCTGCTGTACTCTCTCTCCCCCTGCTGTACTTCTCTCTCCTCCTCCTGTCCCTCTCCTCCTCCTGCTTTTACCGCTCTCTCCTCCTGCTGTACACTCTCTCCTCCTGCTGTACCTCCCTTCCCTGCGTACTTCCTCCCTCCTGCTGTACCCTCTCCTCCCCTTTCCTGCTGTAACCTCTCTCCTCCTGCTGTACCTCTCCCCTCCTCCTGCGTACCTCCTCTCCCCTGTTTTACCTCCCTCCTCCTCGTACCTCTCTCTCTGCTGAAACTCTCTCTCCTCCTGCTGTACCTCTCTCTCCTCCTGCTGTATCTCTCCTCCTCCTGCTGAACCTCTCTCTCCCCCTTTGCTGTACTCTCTCCTCCTCCTGCTGTACTTCTCTCTCCCTCCTCTGTACCTCTCTCTCCTCCTGCTGTACTTCTCTCTCCTCCTGCTGTACCTCTCTCTCCTCCTGCTGTACCTCTCTCTCCTCCTGCTGTATCTCTCTTCCCCTGCGTAACTTCTCTCTCCTCCTGCTGTACCTCCTCTCCTCCTGCTGTACCACTCTCTCCTCATGCTGTACATCTCTCTCCTCCTGCTGTACCTCTCCTCCTGCTGTACTTCTCTCTCCTCCTGCTGTATCTCTCTCTCCTCCTGCTGTAACTCTCTCTCCTCCTGCTGTACCTCTCTCTCCTCCTGCGTACCCTCCTCTCCTCCTGCTTACCTCCTCTCTCCTCGTACCTCCTCTCCTGCTGTAACTCTCTCTCCTCCTCTGTACCTCTTCTCCTCCTGCGTATCTCTCTCTCCTCCTGCTGTACCTCCTCTCCTCCTGCTGTATCTCTCTCTCCTCTGCGTCCCTCCTCTCCCCTGCTGTATTTCTCTCTCCTCCTGCTGTACCTCTCTCTCCTCCTGCTGTACTTCTCTCTCCTCCTGCTGTATTCTCTCTCTTTCCCATGCTGTATCTCTCTCTCCTCCTGCTGTACCTCTCTCTCTCCTCCTGCTGTACATCTCTCTCCTCCTGCTGTACCTCTCTCTCCTCCTGCTATACTTCTCTCTCCTCCTGTTGTATCTCTCTCTCTTCCTGCTGTATCTCTCTCTCCTCCTGTTGTACCTCTCTCTCCTCCTGCTGTACTTCTCTCTTCTCCTGTTGTACTTCTCTCTTCTCCTGTTGTATCTCTCTCTCCTCCTGCCGTACTTCTCTCTCCTCCTGCTGTATCTCTCTCTCCTCCTGCTGTAACTCTCTCTCCTCCTGCTGTACTTCTCTCTTCTCCTGCTGTACCTCTCTCTCCTCCTGCTGCAACAATCATCCGGCTGTAACTCTGTCTTCGAGCGTTCTAGAAGGTAGTCCAGGACTGGCATCACCAGGTCGCTGTCACACCCAGCAGGTAGTCCAGGACTGGCATCACCAGGTCGCTCTCACACCCAACAGGTAGCCCAGGACTGGCATCACCAGGTCGCTCTCACACCCAACAGGTAGCCCAGGACTGGCATCACCAGGTCGCTCTCACACCCAGCAGGTAGTCCAGGACTGGCATCACCAGGTCGCTCTCACACCCAGCAGGTAGTCCAGGACTGGCATCACCAGGTCGCTCTCACACCCAACAGGTAGCCCAGGACTGGTATCACCAGGTCGCTGTCACACCCAGCAGGTAGTCCAGGACTGGCATCACCATGTCGCTCTCAC